GCAGGAGTAAATTACATTTGTTCTGAATACAGCGTTACAGAGCTGCAGTTTCTTTTTTGGGTTGTTGTTCCTGTCTATGAGGAAACACTAGATGGCAGCATGAAGGTCAGTTTGGCATTAGTTATTAGCAGTTGCAGCCTGTCATGCCCGAACATAGCCAGAATCTGGTCTTGAGGCCCATATTTTCCTAACAAACTTCCATAAACTCCTTGGAGTGTAGTGTTTGCATTAATGAGTCTGAAGTAACAAGACAGATAGCTATAAGGACTGTCACAAGAACCACACGTGCCAGTTGAAGTGGCTACCACCTCCCTTTTTATTTGCTCGTGGTATTTGTGTACTTTACTGTCCATTTTTATCTCAATCCTCAGCCAAGTTCGTGTGTCACCTCTCTCCAATCTTTCAGTAAAATCAGAGATGTTTGTACCCTATGCATCTTTCTGTTCTTCCCTACTAACCTTTTCCACAATCTCAAGTTTGCACAAATCCTGTCCTTCCCCTTTTCCAGCTTCCTTTCCCTTAAAGGGATGAGGCAAGGCCTCACAGAGAGGGAAAAAGAGGCAGGGCAGCCCTGCATGCAGTTGCCTCCTCTTTTTTCAATACCCTCTTCTGGGCTTTCCAGTTTTCACCACCAATGACAGCCATGGATAAACATTCAGGAACTTTGTTGCCTCAGTACAAGCAGCTCTTGTATGTCTAGTGGAAAACATCAAAAGATGAAGGGCAACAAGGGGCCTGTTCACAGCTGGAAGCCTGCAAACCCCCTTGTATCATCTACTCCCAGCCAATTCTAGATCACTGGACATGACCTCCCTTGCCAAGACCACTGCCACAGCTCTGCCTAACCTCAACAACAGCTTCTGGTTCTCATCTCAAGCTCATATCAAGGGTCCCACATTCCCTGTCCTTTCCCACAAAAGACACTTTTCTGGGGATGGTTATTGCCATGTTTCCTATTGTATCCCTATTCTTACATCCCGAAAGTCCAGTCCAAGAAACTGCACAATGATGCAGGTCACACAAGGAGAAGGACAGCTACTGGTGCATATCTCCTTCAGAAACCTTTGGAGGGAGGTTCCTCAAACTACCTTAAGTGGTCAGTGCCAAGGCAGATATGATCTCGGTGGTCCCAGGGCTTTTGTTTGCTGCCGTTGCCAAGATGAAGGCCCTGGGTCTGGCCTCTTCCCAAGGGTCAGGACAACCCTTTTGCTGAAGTTGGTGTTCTGTATCCCCCTTGCCCTTCCCTTATGGGCAATGTCTCCTCTGCCATCCCTGCAGCAGTCCCACAGCACATCCTGCACCCCCTCAACCAGCTGCTAGACAAAGAATCAAGGCAGAAACCATCTCCCAGACTACAGAAATAGCACCTGGTTCCCAGGCTGAACTCTCCTGAGACACTGCTGTGCTGGCAGTGCAGGAGGCAGGGAGCCCTAGGGCATGCCAGCTGAGCCTGCTGGGTGCCTGCAGGTGTTGACTGTGTCAGGGCACCTGGACCCCATACTAGTATAGTGTGCTCTATCCTTGGGCCAGTGCTGTTGCCAAAACAGATTCCCAGTGGAATTTCCCAATAAAGTTTAGCCCTTACCAGGTAGGTTTGTACCGCAGGTTACAGAATGGAAACCTCCTGTCTCAGAGCAGAGTCCCAGATTCAGTTCAAAGCTACTGCTCCTTTCTTTTTCCCCTCAGAGTCAACCAAGGAATAGCACTGTCGAGGTTATGCTGTTTTCCTTTCCGAACTGCCTGCTGGCTGCATGCTTCTAGGTGGGTCAAGTCTGATGTAGTATTTCCCATTGTGTGCTGTGGGTTTCAGACTACATCCTGAAAGCACCCCTGTAACACTAAATCCTGTGGAGTTGAGCAGCCTTTACAGCAACATCAACACAATCAGACATAAAATGTATTGCATGAATAGCCACACCAGCTGCTGTGTAGGTCTGGGTAAATTTTGAGGAAATAAAATGGACACAACCTATTTAATTGAACATTTGTTTGATTTTTTTCCCTTTTTATTTTTTCCTTTGAAGGATACCTTGATATTTAATGGATGGTAACTATTAAATGTATCAGAAGTTTAGAATACCACACAAACTTTTTGAAATTCTGTCACAAGCTCTAAAATAATATTTTCCTTTGGTGCCACATAAACAAAACATCAGGTCATTGTCCTTGTGAGGCAGAGGCAGTGCTGCTTGCCCAATATAATTTGTGAGCTATTTGGCAGAATTTGCAACTGTAAACCAATTCTATCATTATAACTGTAATGTCTTACCAACAGTCAAGATACCCTGGGAACATGAAAAAAGTGGTTCTCGAGTTCTTCTAGAATGATATAATGGGTATATTTGTAGAGTCCAACCAAATAAATTATATGCTAGCTTGTACATTTAAAAAAAAAAGGATTTTGTGGTTTTATTTTAATTGAGATACTGTATACTTGAGATGACCACATGATTTCCAATAATTGTCAGTCTCTGTTCAGAAGTCTATAATCCACTATTTATCAGGATTAAATGGTGAATATATTTACATTACAGTGATATTTATGTCTCAGCGATTTCTGATTCTGTTTAGCTCTGGGCTACTCAAAATCCATTAAAAATTATATATTTATATATAGACCCACACACAGATTCTTTGGCCATAATTTTCAAAAGA